TACGATGCCATCCATGATATTTCAATCAGGGAAAGGCATGAATATAAACCAACAACCAAGTTGCGTGTGGAGGTCCCCAAGCCACCCCTCAAAATAATTCACAAATCACATGTAATTTTAGTTTAAGGTTTGGGGCACTATTTTGGCCACAACTTTATTAAAATGCATAATCTGTGAGTGGCATTGGTTATGACTATCTGTCCCCTCGCCTGGGACAGAACTGACTTTCCAAACTCCCTCGGAAGCCAGTGAAGGGAAAACAATGTTGGGGATCAGTTGAGCTGAGTGACAGTCCCTCAGCACTCACCCAACCAGCTCCCCAAGGCTTGCAGGCCCTGGTCCCATTTCAGGGACTGGACGAAATCATGGCAAGCCCCAGGATTCCTTTAACAGAATTCCCTTCCACACCACCATTGGAGGCGCAGGCACAGCCTATCCTGAGCCCTCTTCCACCAATTTTTATAACCAATGCCTAACCACAACCTTACAAGTTGTGACGAATTGCTAAGTAGTAGGCAAAAACCAAATGGCACCAGCCAATCAGCCAAATGGACAAAATTCCTACTAGGCCCCTGCCCCAACGGCAGACGACCCCATGACAGGCATAGCAAGGTCAAGCGGAACACAGGGCGGGCGGGCGGGTGATCCGATGCACTCTGTGAAAGGGAAAGCAAAAGCAGAGTGCCCCAATATTTAAAGCCTTTGGTCCCACCCACCCAATTTGGAACATGCAATTTGCCCCAGCAGCCCGGTCAGCCAATCGTTGCTTCAGGCAATAACCATTAACCTGCCTGGCAACAGAGGGTTGGCCTGGCAGACCCCACCGCAACACGTACTCTCATTTTAGGGAGAACACACTTTGTACAACAGGTCATGTAAAATGCAAGCCCATACCTGTCTACTCAGAAGAAGGGATGGATGGCTCCCTCTGTTTCTGGCCCGTGTCAAATGCTCTTTCATAAGTCAGTTCTGACCTGCTTCTGAATTAAAACTGCATTTTAATATCTAAGTACACATTTAAGTAGTATTCCTAATAAAATACATTTTAAAATATGAATTTACTTTTTTCCTAAAACGCATTATTTTTAGTGAATTTTTAGTACTTAAAAAAGAAGAACTGCACTGTAAGGTTTGGATAAGAGGGCAATCTGATGGATGCTAGTGGCAGTCTGATGGATGTTAGTCCTGGAGGTGCAAATTATGCCAATTTGCTTGAATATGTGGAACAAGCTAATTCTTCTTAATCAGAAGTCTCATTGGACAGGATTACAACCTTGGTATAGAAGCAGTTGTTCTGGCTACTGCTTTCAGATGGCTCAATCATATTTAAGCGCTCCTAATTCACAGTGGCTCAAATGGAAGAGTTGTCCTGTTCTTATATCTCTATGATTAGCATCGATGGGACCTAGATATACTTAACTTAAACATGAAGCATGCAAAATCTCTCTTGTAAATCAGATGCAGAAGTATAGTGATTTCCCTCCTGGAATGTCTGTTTTTTGTTTTTTGTTTTTGTTTTGTTTTTTAGCTTCTGTAAAGCACACACATCTAGCACAGATACTAGTTTTCAGGTTACCTATAAACAACTCATTCAGGGGCAAACCAAGTTATTCCAATCAATTAATCAGCAGTGCTCCTCCCATGCCATTGGTTGATTTTTAAACTTTGATTACAGGCAGATTTTTGTTTGTGAAGGCTTCATCTGCTCTGCCTCACACTGATACTTATCCTAAAGTTAGATAAAAGTAATTGAAGCACATCTATTTAATTGCTCTTGTTTTAAGGGGAGAAAACCATAAATGAGTGTGAATAATGAATATGCTGGTTTTCGTAATTTGCTTGAAACCGGCACTACACTTTTGACTTTTTATTAAAATATGTTACTGATATCTGGAGGTGAGACACTGCTGAAAACTCTCGGAGTATTCCCTCAAGTAATAGCATATGGAGTCTGAATTCAAGCAGCTGACTGATGTTTATTTTAAAATGTTCTGCTGAACTAATCCATTATACATTGCTTCCATTTTTTCTTTACCCTCTGATTTCTATCCAGCAGCATACAATGCTAGAGTTACATTATTTAAAAAACAAAATAAACTACCTGACTGCAATGCAAAGTGTTGTTATGGTTCCTTGCTAAGTAATTAGCTGTTTTGTTTTATGTGTTTGGGAAGCTGGAGCCTGGGCTTCATAAAGAGAAAACATAATTAATGATCAAGAGTAACTTCAAGCCTTGGGAATAGGGCTGCTCATGGTGGCAACAGTGGAAGGCCGGGTGTGTGGGACTGTTGGTCCCAATCCCTATGCAAGCTTCAGGCCATTGGACAATGGATATTGGACTAACTCAGACCTGCCCACTCATATTTCAGAGCTTTCCACTGGTCTTCAGAGCATTCCATTGCATGCCACTGGTGGGTCTTTCATGGGTATGAATGGTTCTGGAACTGGTGATAAGGTCTGGGTCAACCTTTGAGAAACTTGCATTCCAGGTCAACCCCTACTGACTGTTGGGATTCCATTCCACCCTTTGCTGCAGACATGGGATTGTTGCATGTCACATGTCTGTTTACAATCCAGCACAGATTGCTGGTGTGAGTGGAACTTCCGCTCTGTATTGTTTTTGTTTTTAGTCTGTCTCCGAGAAGACAGCAAGGAGAGATGCAAGGTTTTCATTGTACTGATTTATGTGTAATAAATGTGTAGTTTAGTATGTGTCTACAGCCTCAAGCCTCTTCTGTTGCACAGTTTACACTGCTGAGTAAAGTGTGCTCAAGTCTGTAAGCTTGAGTCACTGATCATGTCAGAGCAGAGGTTGTGGGATCTCTGCAGCGGCAAGGCTGAAGGGAGACACTCTAGCTGGGGCCGAGCCAGCTGGCCTTTTGACACACACACACACCCCGATTCTGACACAGACCAGCTCTTGGTGGACCTACCATCCAGGCAAGTTCTGCAGCAATCAACTTCATTACTCCCTCCCCACCTCAAACTGTATTTCCCTTTTAGGAAGAAGAAGAAGAAGAAGAAGAAGAAGAAGAAGAAGAAGAAGAAGAAGAAGAAGAAGAAGAACCCACAACATTCCAGAATAACAATACTGAACTACTTTTCAGGGTTGTATGTATCCTTCGTTTGTTTTTGTTTTGTTTTGTTTTGAAAACCTGCTGATTATATTTCTATATTGTTAGTTGCTTTAAACTGCTGTATGTACACTACTTGAGGATTCTTTGGTTAAGGAAGACTAACAAATAAAAGGCTGGAGAGCCTTTTTCCTGTTCTTCCTTTGGAAGATATGCATCTAGGGACAGATTTGCCGATTTCTCTAAGCTTGTATACTACTTAGTCTTTATTGTACAGCTCGATGATTAAGCCCCTTTGTGGCAAGAAACACTGATTGTACCGGAACAACGTCCGGGTGCTGACTCACGAGTTGATGTTGCTTCCATCAAATACATGAGTGACTGTAAAGAAGAAGAGAAGAAGAAGAGAAGAAGAGTTTGGATTTGCTATCCCGCTTTATCACTACCCAAAGGAGTCTCAAAGCGGCTAACATTCTCCTTTCCCTTCCTCCCCCACAACAAACACTCTGTGAGGTGAGTGAGGCTGAGAGACTTCAGAGAAGTGTGACTAGCCCAAGGTCACCCAGCAGCTGCAGGTGGAGGAGTGGAGATGCGAATCTGGTTCACCAGATTACGAGTCCACCGCTCTTGTTTATACACCTAATTGTGGAGCAGTTGCCCTTGGTGATATATTTTTGTGTGACTTTGCATTTTGTTAATATATCACTACTCTGTATCTTGTTTGTTGGCTGACTGCAACTGGCAACTTTGGGGGTCAACAGCAGTCAGGTGATATGCAATATTCAGAAGGGGCCTCAGACTGGATCCACAGCACATTCAGAATTGGGACCATATGACTGCTCTTCTCCCATGTGTCCATTTTACTTTTCTCCCACAGGAATTTATGGCAAGGAGGTATGTAAAGACATTCACTCAACAGCGTATGTGTTTCAAACTGTGCCTATTCAATGTTTCTTTTATATCCTGGGTTTTGCACAGCTTCCTTGGTGCATGCTAAAGCAGGACAGAATATTGGGAGAACAGCATAAAATCTAATGAACTGACACTAAAAAACACTGTCTACCAATCGTTCCACCTACCTACCTGTCAACCTACTTATCTAAACTTTGAAGTACGTGTCTAGCTCTTTGCATGCAGAATGGTTCCGGATGCTTTACTATTCCTAATTATCTTTGCAATACAGTTTATAGTTCTGCAAACATTTTGCCTGCATTTCCCATTCCCGCCCTCCCGCACTTTCATTAGTGCCTTAATCCATTTGGCTATCTGCCTATCACCTGTCTTTCTCTCCTCCATCTCATGCATAAGCACCTTATGTTGTAACAATATCAGCCACGTTGGTTTTTAATTAGATTTTATTTTAATCTGCTGTGGGATTTCACTTTCTGGTTCTGCTCATGCTTGCGTATAATTCTGTCTTGGGGAACAGAAATCTGCCAGCCTCTACCAGTTGCAGAGCTTAGACCTTCTTCCACTCAATAACATCAAAGCAGATGGCCTACAACACAAAGGAAGTTTTTCAAGCAGTTCATGTTTTGCAGTGTGATTTACCAAGGATGGGTTCACTTGATCAAACTGAACATTTTCTAGCTCAAAGTTTTGTTTCATTTTCTTTTATCCTGTTGCTCTAAAGTTGAAACTACAAGCTCCACAGCAAGTGGCCTGTTTTAGGCTATTGTTTCTGCTCATAATGAAATGGTGTTTTATTGTATTATCCTAGACCCTGCAAGTGTTCCTATTTTCCAGGGACAGCCCTGGATTTACAGAAGACATCCCAGTTTCTGATTTGATCCCGGAATGTCCTACTTTTCCTTAGGACGTCCCTATTTCCATTGGAGAAATGTTGGAGGGTATGGAGTTTTATGACCCCCAAGCCAAGGAGATAAGTAACTATACAATCTTTGTTGAAACAAAATAAAAAAATTCCTTCCAGTAGCACCTTAGAGACCACCTAGGTTTGATATTGGTATGAGCTTTCATGTGCATGCACACTTCTTCAGATATTTCTTCAGATTCTTCAGTGTGCATGCACACGAAAGCTCATACCAATAACAAACTTAGTAGGTCTCTAAGGTGCTACTGGAAGGAATTTTTTTTATTTTGTTTTTACTACGGCAGACCAACACGGCTACCTACCTGTATATACAACCTTTAGAAGACATCTGAAGGCAGCCCTTTATAGGGATGTTTTTTAATGTGTAATGTTTTATTATGTTTTAATATATTTTGGAAGCTGCCCAGAGTGGCTGGGGCAATGCAGTCAAATTGGCGGGGAATAATAATAATAATAATAATAATAATAATAATAATAATAATAAAGTGTCCCTATTTTCATCAGAGAAATGTTGTGGGGTATGCAGAAATATCAGTTTGCCAGAAGCAGTTAGTACATGCACACATGGGCAAGTGAGCTAGCAAAAACTTGCAAAGGAGAGTAGCTTTCCCATACGCATTTCCAAGGCTGCTACATAGTTCTGCTTATTTTCGTTTCCACTCTTAAATCTGAAGTCCTTAAGCCATCACAATTCTCACAGTATGCTTAAGGGGTCAATTTGCACTTCACTTGTGCATCGAGTTCTGCTGTTTAAAACGTAATCTGTCCATTGCACCCCTGGGGTCTTAGTGAATAGGAGTATTTAACACAGTTAAATCTACCGCCTGCTAGGAGAAGCTTAAACCCCTGGAGAGGTGAGGTGGCGCTAGCTGAAGCACATTTTGCAATGCTTTTAGAACAAATGTGGGTTCCTTTCCCCCTGGGAGCACAGCCAATATATTTTTATAATGATACGTTACACGACATTGTGGAGTCCCTTCATGTGCAACACACATGCTGAGATGTCTTCAGCAGTCATGTTTCTGTCCTGATGTCTAGTGTCAAGCATTTTATGGGCAGTTTCACATAAATTTATCTCCCAACTTTTCAATGATGAAGACAGCAAAAGGTCTCTAAGTAAGTTGACAGGGTTTTTTTGTTTTGTTTTTTGCAAAGCAGTTGTAGATCTACTTAGTGGATTCTACTGTATAATAATTTATAAGGAAAGAGTATGTGGAATAAGATGGAATACTCAGTTCCCTCACTTTCTGATGTTTAGAGGTTCGTATACAAATAAACGAATGAAGTCAAGGTCTAAATCAGGGCTGGCCAGCTCTCAAGAGACTGCAATCTAGTCATAGAGTTAAAAACTGGCAGTGATCTACCCCCTTTTGGGTTCAGAGCAAAAATGTGATCTGCCAGTGATCTACCACAAATGTCCAGTGATCTACCAGTAGATCACGATCTACCTGTTGGACATGCCTGGTCTAAATGAACTTAATATATTTCTTTTACATGTGCATGCAAGAATTCAAAACTAGATCAAAATACAATCTCTGACTAATAGCCAATAGAATATTCAATAATAGCTGGATAATCTTGTACGGTTTTAGACGGCGTTCTTCACAGCCTTGCAATGCATTGATTACAAAAGCAATGTTCAAGATGCTTTGCCCAACATGATTTGAGACTTAGACAGTGGCATCTGCTTGAAGAGATTCACCATGTGCATGAACTTAGGCACTCATGTTGCATACAGTGCTGCTGCAAGTTCAAAACATAAGAAGAAGAGTTTGGATTTGATATCCCGCTTTATCACTACCCGAAGGAGTCTCAAAGCGGCTCACAATCTCCTTTCCCTTCCTCCCCCACAACAAACACTCTGTGAGGTGAGTGGGGCTGAGAGACTTCAAAAAAGTGTGACTAGCCCAAGGTCACCCAGCAGCTGCATGTGGAGGAGCAGAGATGCAAACCCAGTTCACCACATTACGAGACTACCGTTCTTAACCACTACACCACTACACCAAATAATTCAAAACTCTTCTGCAATACATGAGCTTGTATGGAGGTAGGTGCCAATGCTTTCTATTGCCAATACAGCACCATCTGTGAAAAGGAGGAAGCATTAGAGCCTTGTTCATTAGGGCAAATGGGGCACTGCCCAGTCAACATCAGACCGTCTTCAACTAGCCCCACCTTCTTTCTAGGAGGTGGCAATGACAATCAACTTTCTCCTCCTTAGTTTCAGGGTTCCTGAGCACATGGGTGATTCTAAATGTGTTCAGCTTAGCAAAAGGACCCCTGGGTCAGAAGCTGCAGTAGGGAAACTTGCTTTGCAAAAATGTGCATTTTAGGCAACTTTGCATACAATATTCTGCATATCAAGAGAAATCTGCATTAAAATGTTGCTGGATTTTATGAGGATTCATTTTTAAAAAATAAATACAGTGGTACCTCAGGTTACATACGCTTCAGGTTACAGATGCTTCAGGTTACAGACTCCGCTAACCCAGAAATAGTGCTTCAGGTTAAGAACTTTGCTTCAGGATGAGAACATAAATTGTGCTCCGGCGGTGCGGCAGCAGCAGGAGGCCCCATTAGCTAAAGTGGTGCTTCAGGTTAAGAACAGTTTCAGGTTAAGTATGGACCTCCGGAACGAATTAAGTACTTAACCCGAGGTAAAAGGTAAAGGTAAAGGGACCCCTGACCATTAGGTCCAGTCGTGGCCGACTCTGGGGTTGCGGCGCTCATCTGGCTTTATTGGCTGAGGGAGCCTGCGTACAGCTTCCAGGCCATGTGGCCAGCATGACTAAGCCACTTCTGGCAAACCAGAGCAGAGCACAGAAACGCCATTTACCTTCCCATCAGAGCAATACCTATTTATCTACTTGCACTTTGTGCTTTTGAACTGCTAGGTTGGCAGGAGCAGGGACCGAGCAACGGGAGCTCACCCCATCACGGGGATTTGAACCGCCGACCTTCTGATCGATCGGCAAGTCCTAGGCTCTGTGGTTTAACCCACAGCGCCACCCGCAACCCAAGGTACCACTGTAAATAAAGCACAAACTGATATGGAAATGTGGAGAACAGAACTTAAGAGCATAACAATGAGGAAAAACTGAGAGAAACTGAAATTGACTGATTCACCCATCTCTACATGTAACTGCACCCTACAGAGGGAGAACAGTAATGGAAGATCAGTTGTTTTCAGGGAGGCAATGTCTCACATTGCTGTTCTCCTTTTTTAAGGAACCCATGAATTCCACAGAACACACTGCTGCAAAATCCGTGTGTGTGTGTGTGTGTGTGTGTGTGTGTGTCCTTGCAGCTTTTCTAGCCTTCAGGGTTCACAACCGAAATCTCACTAGAGCTTCTCATTTTGCTTCTAGGGCTAGAGAAGAAATGTCACATCTGGCGGCTTTCCCCAGTGCACTCAATCCCAGGGGGTCCATTTTAATCTGTGTAGCATTTCCCCTAAGTGGAACTCTGACAAGTATTCAGTCTGGCCAGGTATCAAGAATGAGGTGAATTTCAGCAGGCCTGGAATTGGGTGAAGCATCCCAGAAGCAGTATGTAAAATTCCTCAGGGCTTTCTTTCCCACTTAAAAAGATATATATATATTTCAACAACAAAAAAGTGTGTGCCCAAAGTTACAACTTTCCACATGCTGTGTGACAATCACTGTTTCGTCTCTTCATATTTGTATGCCAAATCCTCTGCTCGTGGCTTGAGTACCGCAAAAAAGAACGTATAGTGATATCTATTTTTCTTCTTCTTTTTTTTTAATGATATTTATTGAAAAAAGAGTTTTTTTAAAATTACAAAGAGAAAAGACAAAACAGAAAAAGAAAAAATAAAACCATCATTTTCAAATTCTCCACTTTCATTACCTTCTTTCTATGACCTCCTCCTCCTCCCTTTTCTTGTATCTTGATTAGTAGTTGTCCCAGCAAATCCTTTCCATAATTCATAGTATTCTGTCATTACATTACCTTACTCTATTTTCATCTTATCTTATAAAAAACCTTAAAGCTTAAGACTTAAATCTTATTTTTACCAACTTCTCATGACCATTACCTTTTACCTAATTCTTTAAACATTTTTACAAGAGCCAAGTAATTTCATTTCAACATTTTTCTAACATTCATCAATTTTATAAAACATTCCTAATGATAGAAAAAAGAAATAAGAACAATCCAATCTTCTTCCAGTGTCCCTTCCTCCTGGTCCCGGGTTTGTCAGTCCTTTTTATCCCATTAGTCTGGCACATTAACCTGGTGATCTTATATCCGAGGCCCTCAAGTCACTTCCATGTCCCTTCCGCAGCTCTTCTTCATATTTTCCTTTCACTCGTGGGAACTCCAGCTTGGTAGTGTTTTTGACCCTTTTCAACAAATCAGCCCCTTTCCCATAGTCCAGACTAGACTCCATGTGGTATTTTAAGACATGTTTCAAATACCCTCCAAAATTGGGAGCCCCCACAGCTCCAAACATCTGAATGCCCATTGCCAGACTCGGAAAGTCCAAACATCTCTGCATAGGGGGGGTCAGTCCAACCCCCCATTTCCAAATCAATCCAAACTTTATCTTTCCAAATCTGGTTTTTTCCAAGTTCATTTGTCAAATCCAAAGGCTCATTTTCTTGCAGGGCCAAAAGTTCCTCCCTTTCTGGCGCCCAAGATTCAGCAACATTCTCTTCTCTCAACTGTTCTGTCATGGCACACTCCTGTTTAAGTTCCTGGGTGGGCTCCATATAGTTTCCCACTACCTGTTCATATGTTCTGGCCGCATTAGTCATCAAATCTGTCTTCTGACTTAACTGATCCAATAGGGCATTTATTTTACAGAAAGCACCCAGCAGTGCTTCTGAAAACATTGTCCTGCAAGGTCACAAGTCCTTTCCCACAGTTGTAATCTGTGCCAGCTGCAAGCTCCCTAGAATTAGTTACAGTTTCACAGTCCCCCTCTAGGGGGAAAACTTCTGGCTGTTCTTTCTTTTAAGGACAATCGCAACAAAGTTTCTTTTTTTAAAGATATTTTGTCAATATTTGTTCCTTTAAAATGCGAAAGGAAACAGTGGAATCACAATGTTACTCTTCTTTTAACTATCTGTCAAAAACATTTGTCTCTGGTCAATGAGCTTCAAACATCAATTCTGACACCCCGCTCCAGGATCAGGATGGTGGAAAGTTACTTTACTTTAAACTCACTTCTGCAGGTTTAAACAGTCCAAAAAAGATCCCCCTTCTTCTCCTGCTACCGAAGGGGGGGT